ACAGCTCCCATCTGCAGGGCCTGCGTCACTCATACCATCATGGTTCCAGCACAGGGTCTGCTCTGCAGTGACCAGACGGCCGTCGATGGCCTCCAGCTCCGCTGCCACCAGTGGGAGCTCCACGGGCAGCGCTGTCTGCTTCACCTGTAGGAGGGCCAGCCCTGTGGTCACCAGGTACTCCCTGTCTATAGGTACCTGTCTATAGGTACTCCCACCTCCCCACGAGCTCCCCAGAACCCGACTGGCACTCAGCAGGGCAGCACCTGGGACTCGGACCAGCACCAACACCAACCACTTGCCTTGTTGTACCAGCCTGTCATGAGGTCCAGGTTGTCCACAAACTTCTGTAAGGTCTCCTTCTGTGCAAAGAGTTTTTCAGCACCGACTGGGATGTCCTTCTGCTTCTGGAAGCCCAGGTACTTCACCTCCCGCAGGACAGCAGTGAGCTGCAAGAATACACCATGGGGGAGACAGTGCTTGTTAGGAAAATGCAAAATGTTTGGTGGTATGTAGGACCAGTCTGCATCCAAGTGCATCACTGCTGGCATCACCTTCCTGTTGAAGTTCACACTGATGAGGGAGGAGCTGGGGTCCCTGAGGATCAGGGGCTGCTCCAGGTGGAAGTGGCAGTCCTGATCAGCCCCGCTCGCCCATGCTGCATACACCTGCTCACAGTAGCCCTGCAGAAGCTCCATCATTTCTTCATATTTCCCAGACACCAGTGTGGCCTCAGGGCTGGTCATCACACTGTCAGAGGCACAGCAGACAGCTGCCATAGCTGGGACATATCCTGCCCCACAGCCCCATAGCGCTGGGGCTGAGTCTCACGTACGGGTGGTTGATGGCAAAGAGCTCCTGGTGCATCCCATGCAGCCTCTCCTGCAGCTCCAGCGCCCACTGCAGCTGCCCAGCCACCGGAGGCATGTTGATATGCACAGGCACAGCAGCACCAGCACGTGTCCACGTGTCAAACAGTCGCTTCACATCGTCCAGCTCAGCACTGAATGTGGCCAGCAGCCCCGAGCACTGCGGGGACACGTCGGCACGGAGCAGCGGGCGCTCCAGCAGAGAGGAGAACATATGCACCAGCTGAGGGGGGAGAACACGTGCACCAGCTGAGGGGGAGGAATGTGCTCCTCCTGTACCCACGGCACCACTGCGGGTGTGAGTGCCAGCAGCACCCAGTGCCCACCCCCACCTGTGGGCACCACGCACCTTCATGGCCGACCCCAGGCTATTGCAGTCATCAAAGCCCTGGCACAGGATGGTGGCCATCCGCCTGTCCAGGTCCTGAATCTTGCTCTGGAACTCCGTAAAATCCTGGTTCAATTGCTGCCAATGACAAGGCGGTGCTCAGAGCAGGCCCAGCACCAGTAGCCCCAGGAGGGTTCGCTCAGCCCCAGAGCCCGTGGTCATCCCCAGCGCCAGCACAAAGGCGATGAATTTTACATGCAGCCTTCCAGCAAGAGGTGATACAAACTTTCCATCCCAGCACCCACTCACCTCGTCCTCGGGATCCAAGGAATCGTATTTACAATCAGCGAATTCTTTGGTGAGCTCGGAGACCTCCTCATAGATCTGCAGCACCTGGTGCCCCAGGATGTTCCCCTTCACCCCGCCCAGCTCTGCTTTCTCCAGCTTCAGGAACTCCATGGCCGTCTCATACAGCTCCTGCCAAGCAAAAGCAGTGCTGCATTTTGCATCCATGTTCCCACCTCTGTGCCCACAGAGCTGCATTCTCACCTCAATGATCTTCAGCCGGTGCAGGAAGGCATCCAACCTCCTGAAGATGAGGGAGCGAGGGAACTCCCAGAGCTGTGGCTCCTTCTCCTGGGGAGGGATGAGGCTGTCAGCACAGTAGGGTGTGCGAAGGAGGACCCACACCATCCCCACACATGCCGTGAACAAGGAGGGCAGCAGGTCAGAGCAGCAGTGGTTGTAGGACTGGAAGAACTTCTCGATGGTGGAAATGCTCAACTTGATGTTCTCCAAGGTCTCGTCAAGCTCTCCTTGCAGCCCCTTCATCACTTCCTCGGGACTCAGGAAATTTCGGGTCTAGGACGGAAAAAAGCCACCGTGGGCAGGGGGAGCCCCTGGAGCACCTGGTGGTTCCCTGCAGCCCAGCACACCAGGCATGAGGCTCTGCTCCCTGAGCCACCCCCCATACCATCTCAATGAGGAGGTTGCAGATCTCCTGCAGGATGACGATGATGCGGGACGGGGTGCTGTAGTGCTCAGAGTGCACCCAGGTGAGGCAGACGGTGTACAGCACTCTGTCAATGTATGGTCGCAGCTGTGGGAGCAGAGCCCTGTCAGCACGGGGACACAGCAATGCTGTGCCAGGGGTGAGCACCGTGCTGCTGTTCCTCCACCTGGAACTCACCTGGAAATACTCTGCCTGCTCCATCTCTTCCAGTAGGATCTGCAGCGGCTGAAGGTAGAGGCTGATGTTGTTGGCTTCCTGCAAGCCTGGCACAGGTGAGAAACGGCGTGGGCACCTGGGATGCTTCGTGCAAATATTGGAGCTCACACATCACCCAGAGCCTCACCTGCACTGACGTCCCTGAACATGGCCTGCAGTGCCGGCCAGTAGCAGCTGTCGGCCTTCTCCAGGATCTCAGCCAGGGCCGTCACCCGCGGCGAGAGCAGCTGTGGGGGGCGCACAGATGAGCTCAGGTGGGGAAACAGCCTGGCCACCCCCGGCACAGCCATACCTGTTCGTTGATGCACTGCAGGTGGAGGCTCCTGGTGCGCCAGAACTCAAACTCTGCCCTGGGCAGAGGGTGCAGCCCTTCCAGCAGCGGCTGCGCCGAGTCCTTGTTCAGGATTTCCCTGATCTGGTGAGACCAGTCGATGACGATTGTCTCGATGCTGTGCAGCGTGGAATTGTCCACCGGCTCCTCCAGCCTGGAGGACAGCTGGGTTACAGCCCCAAACAGCTCCAGGAGCCCCACAGTCATCCCCAGCCCTGCCCTCCTGGGGCAGCCGCTCCCAGGGCCCTGGAGCACAGCCCCGCTGCCAGATGCTTGCCGTCCATCTGAACGGAGCGCAGGTCAGCGTGGGCAGCACAGGGCCAGGAAAGAGCCATCCCCATTCCCACCGCTGTGTGCAGCAGCTCCCAGTCCTCCCCAACACCCACCACTCCAGCACCGTGCGGGTCCCATCGCGGTCATCCAGGTGCTCAGGCATTGGCAGCAGTGGTTTCCCCTGGATCTTGCCACCCATCACAAACATGTCGTTCCTCAGCCTGCAGGCACGGCGTGCGATGTCCTCTGCCACCACACCGGGACAGCTTGCCAGGTGCTCCTCACTCAGCAGCAGGGAGCACACGACCTGCGGGACACGGCCTCCTGAGCCTTCTGCTCAGCGTGGGCACAGCCTTGGGTGGGCTCTGAGGGATTCCTCTAATCCCAGCTATGGGAGCAGCTCCTGCCCTGCACTGGGCTTTGGGTTCGTGCGGCTTGTGGCAATGAGTGCACAGAGTAGGGAGTCAGTGCACTAAGGGTGCTGTTGTTTGGGAAGAGGGATCCCACATAGAAATATGAAATGCCCTCTGACAATTCCCAGGTATAGGGAATTATAGTTTTTAAACAACATGGGGACCCAGGAGAGCCCCCCTTCTTGTGTCTGGCACCAGCTCTGTGTCCTGGTGGGGAACCCCAAAGTGAGCACTAGAATTTTCATGGAATCAGAATGGCCTGGGTTGAAAAGGATCTCACCAACCACCAGACCAGGCTGCCCAGAGCCACATCCAGCCTGGCCTCGAATACCTCCAGGAGGGGGGCATCCACAGCCCCCTTTGGCAACCTGTTCCAGTGCATCACCACCCTCTGTGTGATCCCATTAATGTCCCCCAGCTGCTTTCACATCCACCTCCGATTCCAGTGGCAGGGAGCCCAGGGCCACCCACCTCCTCCACCACGGTGATCAGCTGCTCTACCGGCGAGGGGCTGATGTCCCCCACCAGCAGGGCAGCCCTGCAGTTCTCCTGCGTGATGTTCTCCCTCTTCCTCTTCACGAAGTAGGTGCCCTTGGCTTTGAGGGTGGGGGGGAAGCAGGTGGTCGCCTGGAGCTGCCCGGCGGGGCTCAGCGCCAGCACCAGCTCCGACTCGTCCGGCTGCCTGAAGAACTCGTCCAGCATGGCCCTGGCCTCCTCACTGTCCTCGAACTTGTTCCACCTGTCCGGCCGGAGCTGCAGCAGCTGCATGGTGAATCTCTCAAGGAAGCTCCATCGCTCGTCCGGCGCTGACATCCCGGCGGCACCGCGCTCGGCCGCGGAGCTTCAACGCCTGCGGGGCGCACAGCCCTGCTCAGCCCTGCTGCCCGGACCCCCGCCCCCCCCTCCTGCCCTCAGCCTTCTCTCGCCGCATCCCCGCAGAGCTGCCGGCCCCGGCCCTTCCAACCCAACACCCCCCAGGCTCCCACCCTGCCCTATTCCCCTCCCGTGCCGTCACCCACGCCACCCTGTCCCTCCTGCCCCGTCCCTATCGCACCCGCAGCCCTCCGACAGCCTCCAGACGCCTTCCGCAGCCCTACGAGCACCGGCTCCGACTGGCAACGGCTGCAGCCCCAACCGACGCCGACACCAGCCCCAAACCGACGCCGGCACCAGCCCCAAACCGACGCCGGCACCAGCCCCAAACCGACGCC